TGTCTGTGTGTGTGTGTGTCTGTCTGTCTGTGTGTGTGTGTGTCTGTCTGTCTGTCTGCCTGTGTGTGTGTGTGTGTGTGTCTGTGTGCCCGTGTGTCCCTGGGTCTATCTGTGCCTGCGTGTGCCCCTGGGTCTATCTGTGCCTGTGTGTGCCAGTGCGTGTGTGTCTATGCGGGCGCGCGTGGTCGTGTGGAAGGTGTGAAAGAGGGGCAGCAAAGACCGAGAGGGTGGCTCACCGGCGGCGATCCCTGGCCCTCGCTCGCCCTCAGCCTCCCCCGGGGTGGCTTCCACAGGGGGCCTCCTCCTCTAAAACGAGCGGAGCCCGAGGAATGATGAGCAGGGTTACGCAATGAGCTTGTCCGAGTGCCGGAGTCGACCGAGCTCGGCCGAATGGGACCCCGCACACTGGACTCGGAGGCGGTGCCCCCGCCGGAGCGACTGCTCGCCGGACGCCCCGGCATCGGGATACAGAGCCCGCAGACTGCGGCTTTCTCCCTCCCCCGCAGCCGGCTCGCTGCGTGTCTCTGTCTGTCGCTAGTCCCGGCCTCGGGGCAAGAGCCCGGAGGCTCAGGGTCGCGCGCAGGGGCTCGTGCCGCTGGCTTCCACCAAGAGATGGATGTATATGCTTCGGGGCCCCCTCGGCGGGGGGCTCGGCCGTGTTAGGCGTCCGGGCAGGCGAATTGCGTAACCTGGGCCAGGGGTCCAGACTGCCGGGACACGCTTCGCCCGGCTGGCGGCGTTTACCTCGCCCCCTGGCCCTTGCGCCCGGGTGATGGGCGCCTTTGTTCTTTCGCCTTCGGGTGGGGCTGCCGGGAGGGCCCTTCTTTTCCCCCCCACCAACTCGGCCAGCCCTTCGAGAGGCGAGGCGTCCGGGTCCCGCGGCGTTGACCTGTGCTCGGGCAGAAGGCACGGGAGGCGGTTGTGCCGCCGCGCACGCCCGGGAGGCCGGAGCCGCCGGTCGGGGCCGGAACGCCCCCGGGGGCGGAACAGCGCCGGAGTCGCGGGCCGGCCTGTTCTGGAGCGGACCGGGGCCGGCCGCCAGCGGGCGCCGGGTTGCCCTGCGCCCTGGCATCGGCGCGGGGCCGCCGGTGTGCAGCCGAGCCGGGGGGCGGGGCACTGGGACCCGAGCCGAGGGCCGTCCCCGGGGCCGGTGGCGAGGCCCGAACAAAAGGCCACCCCCCCGGCGGCAGGTTCGGCACGTCCGGCAGGCATAATCCATGTACCAGGATTCCTTCAAGCCCCTCCGCGCCATCCCTCCCCCCACACTCTCCCCCGGTCAGTCGCTTGTGTTACACATTCGACAGCCTCCAGCTACCCACTCTAGCCTACTCTACGCCACTTCCCCGGCACTCGCCATCACTCGCCTGTTCCTTTCGTCAAAAAGCCCCCACTACAAGATGTACCCCACTTGGTTTGGAGAGACGCTGTGCCAGTGGCCCGCTGGCCTGCTGGTTGAGGTACGCCGGGGGGGGGTCTCCCCATGGGCGCCAGCGTCCGAGGGCGGCCCGGCCATCACCATAACGCCGGCCACCTGCCTCGGGGCGCCGTGTCCGCTGGGTTCCTGGCCCGGTCACTAACCACTCTTCGCCGGGTGCCGACCTGCCCCGGGGGCCGCGGTCGCCAGGCGGACTACGCCCAGATTTGGCATGCCCTGGTCAGGGCGAGCAACAGCATCCCCCCAGGCGAGGATGCCTCGAAGTACCTGCACCAGCAGGTGTCCACGGTGCTCCTGGACGCGAAGATCCCCTGGGTACGGCGGCCATGTCGCGGCCAGCCAGGTCCCCCGCCCACATTGAGGAGCACTTGCATCCATGAACTGACACGCCCGGGCTTTCCTCCGCGCGCCGCCGCCGCCGCCGCCGCCGCCGCCGCCGTCATGCGCCGGTGGAAAACAGACCCAAGCCGGGTCCCTGGCGACGCACCTGGCGTCGGAGTTCCTCGAGAAGGAGGGGCTTCCGCCGGCCAGCGGCGCATACGACTCCGCCCCGGCCGAGGATGGCGAGGGCTCACACCCGGCGCCGTCCGGCCCCGGGGCGGTGGCCGGCGCGCAGGGGACCTCGAGCAAGCCCTCCAGGAGCGGCCGAACCAGGGGCCTGGTCATTTCGGCCGGCAACCCGGTGATCTCGTGGGATGCCGTGTCCGTGGAGCAGGCATCCAACTACCTTGGACGTGCGTGTGCCACTTCTTCCCGGGGCAGGGTGGGACAGCGGGCGAGGGGGAGGGCGGCGCGCCAGCAGAAGGGGAGCCCACACGGGCCGAAAGGCGCGCCAGGGCGCCCGCCGGCGCTGGGCACTTTTTTTCTAACCCCCTCCGCGCCCAGGCGTATGCCGGTATTACCTCCAGGAGAGGGGCTGCATGCATGGCAGCGAGTGCAACTGGGATCACCCGGAAGAGAATTCGCCCACCTTTAAGATGCTGCTTTACAATCATATTTGGAATCCGGACCAGCTGCCGGGCCTCCAGGAGTGGCTGGCAAGCCGGACTCCCAGCATGGAAGAGTATGATTTCGACCCGGACTCGCCGGAGGACAGCGACGCGTGCCCGGCCGAGCGGTCAGATCAGCTTGTCTCGCATGCCAGCTGGTCGACTGTTGTGCGAGGGCGCTTTGTGCCGGAGCCGCCGGCTGGGCATGCCCAGCCGGCGGGCCGTCGGTCCATCGCCGGCCCCCAGCCCCCCCGGCTGGCGGAAGACTCGGACTCGCAAGCATTCGCGGCGGACATCCAGGGCAGGCTCGACAGGCGCCGGCTGCTGTGGAGCCAGCCCAATGCCGGGCCTGTCGGCGGCGGAGGCATGAGTTACTCGGCGGCGGCGAAGCAGGGAGCGGCCGAGCAGTCGCCATCCGGCCGGGGCCGGCGTGCCGCACAGTCCGGCCGCCATGCGCCGGCGGACTTCGGAGATGGCATCACCGAGGCGGAGATGCTGCGCTGGTTCCAGCTCCAGCAGGACGAAAACACGAAGATCCCCCAATTGTCGGAGGATGTGCGGGCCTACTGCCGGGCCATTGGCCCGGCGCAGAGGCAGTACGAGGCCGAGCGGAAGCGCTCCAGGGAGCTGTTCGCCGAGTACAAGAGGCTGGGTGCTGACCCGACCACCCCGTCGGACAGGCTGGCCCTCTGCAAGAAGGCCTGGGTACGTCGGGGGCCATGTTCCTTGCATGCCTGTCACGGCCTTTTTTTTTTTTTTTTGGTGGCTTGGGTTTGCTGACTCGCGCGGATGTGACCCTCTTTTGGACTTCGGCCCCCTCTCGCCGGCCGGGCCGGCGTGGCGCCCGGGGGTGCGCCCACCGCGAATGGGGCGCCCGACCGCGCGGCCCGCCTCCTGGCATCGTTGCTGCCCCCGGGGCTCGACCCGCCCTGCCCTCGGCTGCGGCAGATTGACGCCAGCTGGAAGGCCGCCAGGGCCATCTTCACCAAGCGCAACCCCGGCATGGACCCGAGCGCCATGGCCACCAGCAAGCTGCCCTTGGTGGTGGACCTGATGGGTCTACATGAGATTGAAGGTGCGCGCCGAACGCAGCGGCCGGGGACTGTGGTGACAGGGCCGGGCTCGAGGCCGGGCACTGGCTGGGCCGCGGGGCAAGGTATCTGTCGGCCAGGGGGGCGGGGGACTGTCCCGGCCTCGCTGGGCTCCAGGCGAGTCTGACCCTGCCCGTGCGTAGTGTTCCACTTCCTGTCGGTCCTCGTCCGCATTCTACAGGCCAGCGCCCGGGCAACCGGCCGAGTGCACTATCTCCATCTGTTTACGCACGCGTCATCCGGGATGCTAAGCACACGGGCCCCCGAGCAGCCCCAGGTCATGGCCAAGGTCCGGAAGGCCGCCGCGCGGGTCCTCTTCGACCACGGCCTCTACGTGAAGGACAACTCGGCCGTCGGCATGCCGGGGCTTCTGTCGGCGAAGGTACTCCCGCCCGGCACCGAGTGATTCCGGCGCCCAGTCCGCCCCCCTCCCCCTGGCGCACGGTGTGCGTGCATGCATGCGTGCGTGTGTGTGAGAGAGCTGCCTGACGCGCGCGCGCGGCTGGGGCTCGCGCAGTGGGCGGGGCCTGTCCCGCCCGCCGGGCATGGTGCCCTGTCAATATACACACGGGCGGACAGCCGGAGGAGGCGCTCCTGGACCATGGTTTTCTCGCGCTCCGAGGGGGGGTGCATGGCCCGGCATGGGGCCGCGGTGTGCGCCCGGCAAAGGCCCAGGGGCGGGGGAAATGCTCGACCTGGGCCGCGGTGTGGGTGGCATGCGCTTGGGGGCCAGGCATGGCGAGAGCACCTGCCCGCCGGAGGAGAGGCGCGGCCATGGCAGGAGGCCAGCAGGGTGCGCACCGCTGCCCGGGGCGCGATCGACCCGGCCATGCACGTCACCCCGCTGCTGCCAGCGCGGGCCGCCAGGCTGACGGGGCGCGACCCGGGGGCCTTGCTGCCACGGGCGTCGCCCTTTCGGGCTGGCGGGCCGGGATGTGGTCGCCGGTACGGCAGCCGACCGGCGCCGGGGGCGGCAGCGTGCCAGGCGCCCATGTGTGGCGTGCGCGCGCGCGCGCGCATCCGCGTCGGTGCGTCCGTGCAGGCGGCTCCCGGGTATGTAGCCCCCGGTGTCCGTGGGAATGTGCGCAAGGCGTCGGCCCGGATCACCGGCGAGACCTCTATGCAAGTGGGCCAAGCTCGATCGATGGAGCATGCCCCCCGGCCTGGACAGCGCCGTGCCACGCTCGGGCGCATGGGCGCCCGGCAGCACCGGTCCCCTCCCCCCCTTTTTGTGTGGCTCCCGGCGGATGGCCGCCCGTGTGCGCGCCACGGCCAGCCATCATGCCCGGTGGGCCCGGCGCCAGGGCCGGCCGTGGCGGGCGATCGGGCGCCCCGGCGGACACTTGCCCCCGCCTGGCGGCCGAATGCACGGTGGCCGGGTTCGGCGTGTCTGGCCGGCTGGAAAGGCCCAAGGCGGCGGGCGGCAAGGTTGCAGGGGACCTGGCTCGGGGGAGGTGCTTGTCTATTGGGTAGCCGGCTCCGGGATGCAGCTCCACGGTTGCGCGGGGGGGGGGGGGGGGACATGTCGCCCTCGCCGCGCGGAGAGTGGCGGGGCGGGGACGAAAAAAGCCGACTCGGGCCGGCAGGCCTGCCCATGCCGCGGGGAATCGGCCAGGCGAAGGTCATGCCCCAGGGCGGGGGGGGGCATCAACAATGCTGGCCGGTCGGCGGGCGACGCGCGGCCGGGCCCCCCTGCCGGCAGCTTGGCCGGAAAGTCGCCGCGCGCGATGAGGCCGCCGCTGGCCGCGTGTCACTGGCCCGGCAGCATGACGGCCAGCGTGGCCACCACCTGGCGGACGCCGGCGGCCGAGGGCCGGGCATGCGCGTCGGCGGCCCACATGCGCTGCAGGATGTCGGCGGTATTTTGCCCGAGGCCCGGGTTGGCCTGGGCGATGGCGGCGGTGGCCAGGGCCAGGTCCGGGCGCTGGCCGGCATGCACGCGGGCGGTGATGTCCTGGAAGGAGAGCCCCTGCCAGGGGGCCACGCGCGTGAGGGTCTCCCAGAGCATCATGGCCGCGGCATAGACATCGGCCGGCAGGTAGAGATCCATGTCCAGGGGCCGGGCGCGGTGGAAGGCCGCGAGGACCTCGGGCGCGGCGTAGCGCGCGGTCAGGGCATTGAGGACCGGGGCCTCGTTGACCAGGGCCGAGGCCCGGGCGGCGGACAGGTTCCGCGCGGTGCCCAGGTCGCCGAGGGCCACCTGCCACGACTGGCCGTGTGCCGGGCTGACAAGGACATTGGCCGGCTTCAGGTCGCAGTGGGCGATGCCGCGGTCGTGCATGGCCTCCAAGCCGGAGGTCCACTGCTGGGCCAGGCTCAGCAGGGTGCTCAGGGGCAGGGCGATGTCCGACCGGAGGAGCGTGGCCAGGTCCGACTGGAAGCACTCCATGACGATGGCCGGCGGCTGGTCGCTGTAGCCGTAGATGCGCACAATGTGGGCACAGTCGCGCAGGAGCCTGTGCCCGGGGCCGGGGGCCGGGTGGGGACCGGGGGGAAAGGCGGCGTGTCAGTGGCCGTGCCAAGCGCGGGCGGGCGGGGGGAAAGGCGGCGGCGGCGCAAAAGAAGCAGCACAGGCGCGCACCACATGAGGGCGATCTCATTCTGGAGGAGGGTCACCTGCAGCGGGGTCAGCTTGTTGCCCTTCAGCTGCTTGATGGCCACGATGTCCGGGCAGCCGAGGCGGGTGGAGACCCCGGCGCCGATGGCTCGCGCGGCGAAGACCGATGCCTGGGTCCCGGCCCCGAGGGCCGCGCCATCGAGGGCCAGGAAGTCCGCGGCCAGGCTCACTTGGATGGCCCCGGGGAGCGACAGCTCGAGGATGGTGTTGAGGACGGTGGAGTCGTGGTCGGGATCGCCGGCCCCGGCCGGGGGCTTGGCCGCTTGGCGCAGGCGGCGGACCAGCCACGCCACCAGCAGCAGCAGCAGCAGCAGCAGCAGCAGGCCCAGGCCGATGCCGAGCCCGAAGGCTGGCAGCCGGCGCGCGGGACGTGGCGGGATCCCCGTGAGCGGGCGACCGGCACGGGGGTGGGGGGGGGACAGGGGCCGGGGGGAGCGCAGACGAGCGAGGGAGGGACGTGAACAGGGGTATGTGCCCGGGAAGAGGAGGGTCACGAGTGGGGAGAATAAAAGGGCGCGGGCGGGGAGAATAAAAGGACGCGAGTGGGGAAAGAAAGATGTGACCGGCGAGATAAGACCAGGGATACAAAAACACAACGGGGGATGAAAAACACGACCGGAGATGAAAGACGCGACGAAGGATGAAAGACGCGACCAGCAATCAAAAGCATGACCGGCGATGAAAAACACGACCGGCGATGAAAATCACGACCGGCGATGAAAAACACGACCGGCGATGAAAGACGCGACCGACGATGAAAGACGTGAAGGAGAATCAGTATCAATCCAGCGGCAGGAGCGCGAAGACCCCCCCCCCCCCCCCCCCCCAACCGGGAAAGCAGCACGCACCGATGCGCCGGCTGGCAGCGGAGCTGACCCGACGAAGGCAGTCGGTCTTTTCGGGGCCGGTGCAGGCCCAGCAGCCCGGCGAGCAGGCGGCGCAGGCCGGCGGCGAGCCGTCCCAATCGGCAAAGTGCCCGGCCGGGCAGTCGGACACACAGGAGGCGCCCTGCAGCAGCAGGAGCCCCGGCTCGCACAGCTGGCACGTGGCCACCCTCGGGCAGTCGAGCGAGCCATCCGGCTGCATGGCGCAGACGGGCAGCCGGCCGGCCGGCTGGCACGCCCGGCAGCCGGCCACACACGGCAGGCACACCGGCTCCGCCGGGGAGGCGGCGAACCCGGCGGCCGGGCACTCGGGCACACACTGGCCGGCGGTGCTCAGCAGCCAGCGGCCGCTGCCGGCACAGGCGGTGCACCAATCCGGCCGCCGGTGGCAGGTCCCGCAGGCCGGGGCGCAGGGCTGGCACCGGGCCGGCTCGGTGTCGGTCCCCGGCCGGAGGACCTCCCCCGGGGGGCAGGCCTCCAGGCACCGGCCGGCCGAGGGCGACAGCAGCATCCCCGCGGCGCAGGCGGTACACCGCCCGACGCAAGCCATGTCATAGGTGTCGGCGCGGGTGCAGGCGGCGCAGTCGCTCGGGCAGGGCAGGCACTGCTCGGTCGGCGGGCAGAGGAAGGCCCCGCCGGAGCAGGCGTCCACACAGTGGCCATCCTCCAGGAGACGGCCATCGGCACAGGCGGTGCAGTGGCCGGCGGTCGGGCCGTCGCACAGGCGGCACGCCGGCGAGCAGGCCCGACAGGCCGAGCCACCGGCCGGGCCCGGCTCCGGGTGCTGGCCCCCCGGGCAGCGCGTCAGGCACGAGCCATCCAGGCCGAGGACCCGGTCGGCCGGGCAGGCCGTGCAGGCATTCGCCCAGGGCCCGGTGCACTCGGCGCAGGTCCGATGGCAGGGGATGCACTGGCGGGCGTCCGGGTAGGTTGCAGCCGGGCAGGCCCTGTGGCAGACGCCATCCAGCAGGAAGGGCGCGGCGTCGGCGCAGCTGTCGCAGTGCTCCGGCCCCGGGCCGTGGCACGCGGTGCAGGAGGCATCGCACGAGAAGCAGGTCCCATCGAGGGACAGGGTGCCGGCCGGGCAGGCGCTCACGCAGGCGCCCTGGTGCAGCATGGCGGCCGAGGAGCACCGGTCGCACGTGTCGGCCGAGTGCCAGCAGTCCCGGCACCGGGGGGGGCAGGACCGGCACGTGCCCTGCTGGGCCCGGTGCCCGGGCGGGCACTGGTCCAGGCACCGGAGCGGCGAGGACTCGGCCCGGTGGTGGAAGAGGCCGGCCGCGCATTCGGTGCAGTCGAGCCTGCCGTGGCCCTTGCACTCGCCGCACATGGGGTCGCATGGCAGGCAGCGCCCCTCCAAGGGGTAGTGCTTGGAGAGGCAGGCCTGGACACATTGGCGATCTTGGAGCAGGGCATCATTGCACCGCCAGCAGTCGCGATCGGAGGGCCCATTGCATGTGGCGCAGGCCGGGTGGCAGGGCCGGCACTCGCCGGATGCCGGGTCGCGGTATTGGCGCTCCTGGCAGCCGGAGGCACAGGTCCCGGCGGCGGCGCCCTCGCGGATGAGCTCCAGCCCCGGGGCGCAGGAGGCGCACTGGCTGGCGGCCGGCCCGGTGCAGGTGAGGCAGGCCATGTTGCACGGCCGGCAAGAGGCGTCATGGGTCCAGGTGCCGGCCGGGCAGGTGTCCACGCAGGCCCCCTCCGGCGTCAGGACCAGCGGGTCGAAGCACCCGAGGCACGCATGGTCCCGGGTGCAGGAGGCACAGCCGGCCGGGCAGGCAACGCACCGGGCCCCGGAGGCCGGGTCGGCCGGTGGTCCGGCGGCCCACCGGAAGCCGGCCGCGCACCTTTGGCAGGCGTCCGGCTGGCCGTGGCACTCCTGGCAGCTGGCATGGCACACGCCACACCGCTCGGGCTGGGGGAAGTGCCCCTCGTCGCAGGCGATGCCGCACAGGGAGGCCGCCTGCGGGCTGGGCTGCCGGAAGATGAGCCCCGGCTGGCAGGCGGTGCAGCTGTCCGGGCCGGTGCACGTGGCGCACGACCGGGAGCATGGCTCGCAGGCGCCGGCCCGCAGGAAGAAGCCATCCTGGCAGCCGGTGCAGAGGCCGGGCCCGGTGCAGGTGGAGCAGGCTGCCGGGCAGGGCAGGCACACGGCCTGGGCATTGGGCCAGGTGCCGGCCGGGCAGGCGGCCAGGCACCGGCCCTCGTGCAAGAAGGCCCCCGGGGGGCAGGCCGTGCAGGCGGCCTCGGCCGCTGGCAGGGCACACGCCGCGCAGCTGGCATGGCAGTCGAAGCACCGGTCCGGCTGGGCCCCGTCGGCGGCGCGAACCATGCCCGGCGGGCAGGCGTGGCAGGTGTAGGCCGGCGGCTGGCCCTCCGGCGAGCACCACTGGCAGGTGGCATGGCAGGCGCACCGGCCGGCCGGGTCCGGGTGCAGCCCCGGCGAGCAGGCATCCAGGCAGGCGCCATTCTCCAGGACGGACCCCGGGTGGCAGCCGGTGCAGGCGCCGGCCGAGCCGGAGCAGGTGGCACAGGCAGCGCTGCAGGGCAGGCAGTTGGCCCCGTAGGCGAAGTAGCCGGCCGAGCAGGCGGCCAGGCACTGGTCCACCTGGAGCAGCTGGCCGGCCGGGCAGGCGGTGCAGGTGGTGGCGCTGCCCGCGCACCGGGCGCACGCCGCGTCGCACGGCAGGCAGGTGGCGTCGGCCTGGAAGTGGTTCCACGCGCAGGCGGCCACGCAGGTGGTCGCCGGCCGAGCCGGAGCAGGTGGCACAGGCAGCGCTGCAGGGCAGGCAGTTGGCCCCGTAGGCGAAGTAGCCGGCCGAGCAGGCGGCCAGGCACTGGTCCACCTGGAGCAGCTGGCCGGCCGGGCAGGCGGTGCAGGTGGTGGCGCTGCCCGCGCACCGGGCGCACGCCGCGTCGCACGGCAGGCAGGGGGCGTCGGCCTGGAAGTGGTTCCACGCGCAGGCGGCCACGCAGGTGGTGCCCTGGAGGTATCGGCCGGACGGGCAGGAGGTACAGGTGGTGGCCGACCCGGAGCAGGTGGCACAGGCAGTGCCGCAGGCCAGGCACCGGGTGCCGGACTGGAAGTAGCCCGCCGAGCAGGCAGCCACGCAGGCGGAGCCCTGGAGGTATCGGCCGGA